GTCTAATTTGTCAGATATCAGTATTGCTACCCCAGCTATGTTTTTCATTTCCATTCACCTGAAAAACCTGTTTCCATACCCTCACCACGAGTCTGTGTGAGTCCTTTGTTCTGAGGTGAGTCTCCTGTAGACAGCAGATATATGGGTCATGTTTTCTTGTCCATTCAGCTACCCTATGTCTTTTGATTGGGGCATTTAATCCATTTACATTTAATGTTATCATTGATAGGTACTTGTTTGTCGCCGTTTTTATTCTTCATGCCTGTGTTCCTTCTTCTCTTCCTATTTCTTCTTTTGACAGCAGACCCTTTATCATTTCTTGCATTGCTGGTTTGGTGGTAATAAACTCCCTTAGTTTGTTTTTATCTGTGAAGCTCCTGATTTCACCCTCAACTTTGATTGATAGCCTTGCTGGGTACAGTATTCTTGGATTCAGACCCTTGCTTTGCATGACTTTGTATATTTCATTCTATTCCCTTCTGGCCTGATGTGTTTCTGTTGAGAAATCACTTGATAGTCTGATTGGAGATCCCTTGTAGGTAACTTTCTGCCTCTCTCAGGCAGCCTTTAAGATTCTTACTTTGTTATTGGTGTTTGCCAATTTAATTATACAGTAGGTCCTTGGGTTACCTTGGATATCTATTCCTACGTTGAGATGTAACGTGATTTTCGATGTAAGTGGGAACCCGCCTACATAAGCACTTATGTCACTCACATGGAACACATACACAGCAGTAATGAAGTGAAACAGTAAAAAAAATTTAAAAGAATGATAACAATTCCTGACCTTTACTGATGGTAAATAAATAATAAAAAACATAAAGCACATATGTACATATGTCGAAATGACGGAACTTTTTAAAAAATAAATACTATAAATCTGAGATGGCGACGTAACCAAGAAACGACATATGTCAAGTCCAACGTTACCTGAAGGCTGCCTGTAATGTGTCTTGGTGTCAGTATTTTTGGGTTCATATTGTTTGGGACTCTGTGAGCTACTTAGACTTGTGTGAATTTTTTCTTCCTGATATCAGGGAAGTTTTCTGTCATTATTTCTTCAAACAGGTTTTTTATTCCTTGCTCAGTTTCCTCTCCTTCTGATAAGCCTATTATGCCGATTTTGTTTCCTTTCGTGTTGTCCCAAAGTTCCCCTAGGCTCTCCTCCTGTAATTTAAGTTTATTTTCCAGTTGCTGTTCTGCTTGGGTATTTTTTCCTACCTTTTCTTCTAGCTCACTGATGCTGTCCTCTGCTTCTTCTAGTCTACTGTTGATGCTTTCTATTGAGTTCTTTATAGCAGTGATGTCATTTTTTTCATTTCCTCTTGGTTCTTACACATATTGTTGAATTTGTCTTCCATTCTTTTCATCCACCTTATGGCCATTTCTCTGAATTCTTTCTCTGACAGGTTGCTTGCCTCCATTGCCTCCAATTTGTTTACTTCCTTTTCTGGTGATGCATGTTTTTCCTTCATATGCGGGCTGATTCTTTGTCTCCCCATGATCTCTCTTCTCCAGGTGTTTGTTTTTGTAGTTTTCTCTCTGCTACGTTGATTTAAAGGTACAAAATACAACACAACAAGGCACAATGCACAAGGCACTGAACACAAATGTATTCACGATACTAATCACCGCAAATAAAAGTGACCACCTGAGAAAAGAGAATTAGGGGATAAGGATGAAAAAAGAAGAGAAAAAGGAAAAAGAGGAAAATAAAAAAAGGAGTGCAAAAATGAAATTGGGAAAAGGAAAAAAAGCTTCTTCTAATCTACTGTTGATGCTTTCTATTATGTTCTTTATTGCAGTGATGTCATTTTTCATTTCTTCTTGGGTCTTCATTTCCTCTTGGTTCTTACACATATTGTTGAATTCATCTTCCATTCTTTTCAGAGTCTTTATGACCATTTTTTCTGAATTAATTCTCTGATATATTGCTTGCCTCCATTTCATTTACTTCCTTTTCCAGTGATTCCTACTTTTCTTTCATATTGGGGCTGTTTCTTTGTCTCCCCATGTTTGCTCCTCTCAGGGTGTCTGGTTATGTAACTCTCTCTCTCCTGCATTGACTCTCTCTACACCATCTTTGACCTTTCCATCCAGCTGTGTTTAATTTACCAATTCTGGGTGGATGTTATTTGATTCAGCTGTTCCTTCTATCTGCTCTGTGCTAAGGCACAGGACCCGTCCGCATATTCAGCACCACTTTTTCTCCCCCTGGACAAACTTTTTAGGCACCCATGGCCTGGGAGGCTGGAGTCTCAGTGTTTGTGGGTTTGCAGCTGAGGCAGCTGGTCCCTGAGTGTTGTAGTTGTAGAGTCCAAGGAGGTATCCAAGGTCTCCCTGGTTGAAGGTGAGGCTGGGCTTGATCACAGCCACTCTCCCCTACAAGATGGTGTGGTCTCTGTGGCAGAGCCGTCCACTCCAGGAGAGATTTCAGCAGCAGTAGAGGCTGCCCATCCAGGGGAATATAGTCCCCAACAGTCCTGTGGAATATAGCTGTCCCTCACTCACACATACAGACACTCCCAGCACATCCACACACTCTGCTTTTGCTCTCACACTCACACACTATCTTGTAACCTGCCATCATAGCGACTGCCATCTTGAATCTCAATGATGTTTATATTTTTAAAATGAATAAACTCTCGCATGGCACTGACATTGTGTCAGGGACTTTAGAAGCATTAACTTAATGCTCAGCCAATTAGGACACGGAGAACAGAAGGCTAAGTCACTGATTCAAGGTCACAGAGCTGCTCAGGCAGAAGACCCTGAATGCCCTCCAGCCCCAAAGGTCACTTTCTGAGTCAGCAGGTTAAGCCGATGATGAGACCCTGATATACGGGGGAGGGGGTGGAGAGGAGATGCCAACGACTGTATGTACATTATATTCTAACTGTTCCCATGTGAGAGCCAGACATGAGGACACTAGTCTGTGTGACGGGAGAGTTCTGGGCATTTTGGGAAGAGAAATGTCGCTTCCCCTCCTGGAGACCCCGCGCCCCTTGGGGTGAGTAGCTGAGGCTTTCCCTCCGCAGGCCCCTTCTTCTCCTGTGCGAAGCCCTGGCAGGTGGCTGTGGGGGTGACTCTCCTGGCTCTGTTTGGAACCCTGGTCGGGGCGGTATTCTTCTGGCGACAATACAAGAAAATCTGGGCCTTGAGCCATGAGAAGGAGAGCGAGCGAGCTGAGAAAGAAGCAGCACAGGGGAAGGAGCAACAAGAGCGAAGCGCCAAAGGTGAGGCCTGGCTGCAGGTGGGTGGGTCCCTCGCCCCAGGTCGCCCACCCACAGCACGGGTCCCCCCTTCCGTCCCCATGACAGCACCTTCTCTTTCTGCTTATTTCCAGAGACGCTGGAGTTGTTGCTCAGTAAGTCCTGATCCCCCACCAAGCGGGTTCTGGGGTCCCTGGTAACCCGCTCACCGACCCCTCCCGTTTCCCCTGCAGGGTGGACAAAGCAGCAGATCATAGCGGGTGAGTACCTAGACCTGGACCTGGACCCACATCTGAGACTCTCTGCTGGGACCTGTCCAGCCCCTTCCTCACCCCTGACCGCCCAGGGGAAGGAATGAGGACGCTGATGGGGGAGGTCGGCAGGGTTTCCTCCCTATAGAAAGGGGTCAGGCTCCCTCCACCAGGCTGCTCACACCCGGATGTCCAGGGAACCCCAGAAAGGAGAGGGGAGATGGATTCATGATGTGAGTCCTCCCTCCCTGGCTGCTCTACACAATCTATAGGCTGCTGAGAGGAAACCAGAAGGAGAAAGAACATTCTCTTCTAAGGAGGAGGGATTGGTGTCAGCTGTCCCAGATTTATCATAACTGCTGAAAAGTAGTCCCTGAAATTTTCTCATTAAGTCACCCAATTCTTTTTGGAAATCAGCAGGAAATCATGCAGATTGAGTAGATGGGTTCTAGCACATATATGCATACACGTATGCACACGAGAAGCCTATGCCAGGTACAGGAGTAAGACAGTCACTTTGTATGCCAGGAGCATGGGATCCAAGACCCAGTGGGTGCCTGGCCCATGGATAGCACCACACCCTGTGTATAGTAGGTTTCTCCTTCTCACTTAAAGGAAGGCTTCTCATTGCCACACCCCAATGGGTCATTGCAATGATGGGTCATTATTAAGTAACATGAGGGGACTTTCACACAAGCCCTGTGATGCTGAGGCAGATCTGACCATAGAGCTGGCTCCTCAGTGACTAAGTGGCTTATGAGAGGAACACAGGGTGGACATGCTGGGCACAGGGATGGTTCTCAGGTTGGCATGTGAGAGACGGATGGCACAGGTGTCATCACACTGCTCAGAATGATGTGCAATTTAAAACTTATGAATTGCTTATTTCTGGAATTTTCCATTTAATATTTTCCAACTGTGGGTGACAGAGGGTAACTGAAACTTCAGAAAGTGAAACAGTAGTTAAAGGTGACTGCTGTACAGACACGTACAGGACAGACCTACAGGTGCAGCTGGGGAAGCCCCACTTGGTGTCTGCAGGTCACTAGGTGCAGGTGACTTTAAAGAGGAGCGGGGAGCAGGCAGAGGGAGCGGGAGGTGGGGGTCAAACAAAAGAGAAAGGAAAGGACTCAGAAATGACGGTTGAGGTGACCCTGCCTCCTTCCTTTGCAGGTGACAGGTCTCAGGCCTATGCTGGTGAGTGACTCATGCTCTCTGGTTCCTGCACTTGTGTACAAAGCCCTTCATCCCTTTCTGTGCTGGTGAGGGATCATCAGACCCTGCTCAGAGCTCATGTTCTGTGGAGGACCACCCTGCCTCTCTGGACCCCCAGAGAGGACCTCCCAGCTCCAGTGTCCCCTCACCTACTGCCACACACGCCCACACCTGGGCACAGCCTGGCCCCGTCACCCACAGCCCCACCGTGATGGAGGGAAGCCCAACATTCTGAGAGCTTTTGTGCCTCCTCCTCAGAGCTGTGGAGGAAGGAAACTAGATATTGGTGGGAAGGAGAGGGAAGAGGCTCAGTGAGGAGGATGGTGTGGGGAGAACAGAAATGATGACCTTTCCTTGCCTGTGTCTCCTTCCTTTCAGAGTGGAAGATGGCCCTTTACCAACCTGGTGAGTGAGTCACTGTGTGTTCCCTGGGACAACGACTCAGGGGCCTGGCTCCCTCTTTCTTCTCCAGCTCTTGACTGGGGGACATCTGGGTGGGTGGCATGAGGTCCCCACAGTGTGCCCATCTGCTGCCAAGAGAGCCAGGGACAGCTGCTGCCCCGGGCTTCCCCAGGTCTGTGTGGGAAGGAGGAGGCATGAGGGATGGAGCTGGGGGCAAGGGCAGGAGGGAGAGGGAGGAGGTGACCTGGTCCAGCTGCTGCCCCTCCTGCCCTGATTATCCTCAAGATGTTCCATGTCTCTGAGTCCCTTTGAGATGATGGTGGTCATTCCTACTATGTGAGGGTGGAGGTGAGACTAGACGAGGTGATGAGTGTGTGTTGGTCAAAACTCCAAGAGGGAAGCCATGGCCTGTTCATGATGGGTGTGTGTCTGACGGTAATGACCACAGTCAGGAGAAGGGTCTTAAGACCTAAAAGTGATGTAGGCAACTCCTTAGATTATAACAGACTGTATTATAGAGTCATTTACTCACAGGGGTGTGGGGTTGGAGCAGACACACTATGTATCAGTCTGCACAGACTTTTCACCACTCACGGACCTGTTACAGTACTTGTTTAACACACAACTCTGGTAGTAATGGTTGTCAGGACAAAAGGACAAACAGTGTGGCAGCACCAGCCATACCTCCTGGGGGTCTTG